GCTTCTAACACGATCGGTCTTAATCTCTGACGTGACGGCGATCGATCGATCGGCCTTGGAACACAAGCCTCTCCCGATAAGACATTACCCTTTAAGCACTTTGCGTTACTCCGACGAGAGGCGGAACAAATTGGAGTCCTCACCAAAATGGAAATTTCATGAAAAATGCAGATACGCGGCGACGATAAGCTATCAGCTGGCGATAGGCCATTACTTGTTGCTCCACGCCGCGGTCAATATACGTGTATTAAAAAAAAAAACACCTCAATCTTTATGATTTTACCGGAAGACGTTTTAAAGACGTTCTTAAGACTTCTTGGAAAAGTGTTCAAACATTCGAAAGTCATCTTATAAGTTATCTTTTATTTGTATTACCGACTGCAACGTTTATTGATTGGAATACACGTGGCACGACTGGATATAACGTAATTTATAAAAATGTCTATCGTCTGTTAAAATCTGATACTCCGATATTTTTATGTCACAACAACACAATTAAGGCAAAGTTTTCCAAAAACACGAGAGAATTTGAAATTACTTGATAAATCAATACACCAATGATTTAATACTTACGTGATTTTGCTAACTGCAAAAATTGATCTCTATCATTGCATATAAAAGAGATATATCGTTTAACATAATTATGCGAACGTTAAATCATTGATACGTCAATTTTTCAAGCAATTCTAACGCTTCTCTCGTGTTTTTCTTCTTGTGAACGCGTTTCCGCATAATTTTGCCGTAAAATATCTAAAAAATACTTTCAATAAGACATTTCGAAAAACATCTTAAAACAATGCGTCAAAGCGTCACAAGTCGAGACATAAATCGTTTTAAAGACATCGTTTTAAAATGACATTTTTCATCCGACAGTTCTACAAAACGTTGTTCAAATTTCAAGACGTCTATAAGATGTTACAATGTTTTCTGAATGCTTATCGCGAGAACATCACGCACATACACCTTGGTATTTATTCGGCGATACGAATGAAATAATCGTGTGCAATTGTTTATGCAAATAAGGCTAATATTATTCATCGTCGATTTCGTAAGCAACCTTTATCAAGTCACGGCTGATCGGCTTCGCTGTTATATAATTATATCTATTGTCTAACCAAGTGTTTCGTTCTACGCTCGGTTCTACGGCAACGTGCAACGATTCCTCTCTACTTTGATTCGTGAATAATTCCCATGCGTCGTCGTCGCGAGGTATTTTTAACGCTTGCGCTGTTCAGAGACATTTTCCCCGTTGACGACAATCGTCAATAACTATTGAAACTGCTCGCTCATCGATTCACATTATTTCGTAAGATTACTCGTTATCCGAACATTGATACCTATATAGTCATGTTCGAAATTGTCCCAAAAATATTTTTATTATCGTTGCCCGACGGGTGCTTGTCCCGATACTCGAAGGTTGCCCCCGTGAAAGTGTCGTTTCTATTTTCTATTGTCATTCTATTCCAACCGATCTCTAGACGCACAAAAGGATCACGTGGCGCCGGGGTTTCGACCCGCGGACAAAACATGCGCCGTCTCGCCGATGCTCCGGCTCCGAAAGCGACGCGAAACCAGCTGCGAGCGGCGCGGCGGTCGCGCGCGCAACATGGTGGGTTGCATTTTTTATGACTCATGTGCAACGCCGGCAACGCGGGCGGCGTGAAAACACGATGTACGCGCGCACGAAATGCCTAAATGCGCGAATGCGTACGCGCATTGCACGTACAACGTGCGTTTCTTGACGCGCGAGACATCGATATACGGTGAACAATATTATATAGACTCACCGTAATCTCGTACCGGTTGCCGACTGTAGCTCGCGGCGTTGCTCGCCGGCGTCACTCGAAATCTCTCCATGCCTCTCCTTCCTGCCCGCCGTCCGCCGCGCGCTGTTTCTGCCGCTGCCTTCTGTCCTCCGGGAGACGAGGGCGGTGTGGATGGCCACTGTCGCCGGAGAGCTCGCAGTTCGATCGCTCGCAGTTCGATCACTCGCGACACGAGACACACGAGACACACGGGCGACGACACATTCGACGCGAACGAATCGGTACCTTGGCGCGCGAACACTCGCGTGCGCGCTCCCCCATTCGCCGACGCGAGATTACGGGACGCTACTGTGCGCGTCACCGGCACGGCGGGACGCCGCGACCGGCTCGGCGTTATCTTCAGGCGAAACGCCGCGCCGGAGTAGTGGGGGATAAGGGCAGTGACTGGAGTAGGAGCGACACGGTCTACCGAAAGAGAGGGAAGACGCAGAAAGACGAGAGCAAACGAATAATGGCGAAGGGAGGAGAGAAATATATGGATATCATTATAAGGAACAATAAAGAGAGAGAGAGGGCGATTTATTTAAGAAAAAGAACAAACATTGAACAGATCGTTTTATTTCACATTTGAACATGCGTTCCGGTGCCAGGAGTAACGGAATGGAGGAGCGAGATAAGAAAATCTTATATTACCTTTTACGTCTTACAATTAGATTACAAGAACGTTAGGGAAATGCGTCATGCGTGCCATGAGGAACGTGAAAGGGACGAACGGAGCCAGAAACGGAGAAAAGGATGAGACGAGCGGCGAGCGCGCGGGAAGTGCGAGGAGATCGGGACTGACTGAACTGACCGGCGGCCGGGGGGAGCGGGCGTCGAATGTCGAATCGAATCGGCGGCGACAGAGAGAATCGTTCGCGGACTCGATACCCGACGTTGCTTCTTCTTGCTCCTTCTTGCAATCGCTCGCCCTCTCGCGGGTCCCTCAAACCACCCACCGCGGGCGTGGGTGCGCAGTGACGTAACTAGCAAGTTCATGACTGCGCGTCGCGATGTCGCCGTTACGCGCGAAATATTTTTTTAGAGAGAAAAACGCCATTTACGATCCGGCCGAATCGTGACAATAATATTGTGTAAATTTTGTATATTTTTTCCAAACTCACAGTGAACTGCGGTCGGTCGACTTTAAAACACGATTCTTTGTTGGAACAGTAAATTCACATAATTAAACCGATAATCGATTTAAATTTTGACGCTAATAAGCATCCTTATTAAATCACTGTAAGGAAATTATTACGAAAAATAGCACCCCAGCTAAAGATATATTTTTATTTTAAAAGTCTTTTCATTTTGTATCGTTATATTATTTCTTTTATTCTTTTCGCTTATATAAA